AAATTGGGGTTTCCGTGTCATGTGTCATAAATTTTATTTTTAAATAAATGGGGGTTTCCGTGTCATGTGTCATAAATTTTATTTTTAAATAATAATAAAATAAATTGGGATTTCTACGTCATAAATTTTTAAATAATAATAATAATAAAATAAATAAATTGGAATTTCCGCGTCATAAATTATAAATAAATAAAATAAATTGGGATTTCCGTGTCATAAATTTTAAAAAGAATTATATTGTTTTTTAAATACAATAAATTTATTCATTTTATATATCGATTTGGGGGGTTGGCGCACTGGAAGTTGTGGCAGCAGGGGCAACAGCGGGAGTTGTGGCAGCAGGAGGAGCAGGAGGAGCGGGTGGAGCGGGGGCAACAGCGGGAGTTGTGGGAGCTGTCTTGATATTGTCACCTTCTTTATAAGCAGTGGGTTTGTTGTTTAAACAATCAGATACTGTGACAAATTTATAACCAAAGCTTGTAATTTTGTCGATAATTTCTGGTGTGAAATCAACAGAAAATGGTTGAATATCGTGTTGTAAAGTGATGAATGAGTCTACTTTTGGATTCCCTTTTCCCATTACGTCTATTATATTTTTGACTGTTAAAGATTGTTTTTCTTTTGCTTGAGCGTATTGCCAATCCTGAGAATCAGCATTCCATTGAGTTACAGTTAAACCTAATCCTTTCATTACTTTGGCACAAGCAGCGTTACAATTACCAAATGGAGGTCTGATTTATATAATTAGTTAATATTCATGTTAAATTGACCGATCGAATTTTAATTTAAAATAAAATGATGAAAAAAAAATTGAATTGAATTTTACCTGGCGTAATTTGGAGATTTGCCAATAGTAGCTTTGACAGCCTCTATATTTTTGACATATTCTTCTTTTACTTTAGCTGGTGACAATTTATTCATATCAGAATGGGTTGAAGAATGTAATGCGATTTGATGACCTTTTTCAAAGGTTTGTTTCAATATATTTTTATTATTACCCTCATTGACATTAACAGCTAAAACAAAGAATGTGGCTTTAATATTTTTGTTATCTAATATTTTTAATAATTTTGGTGTGTTTGCGGCTGATGGTCCGTCGTCAAAAGTTAAAGCAACTTGGCCGGGGGTTTTACATTTGAAAACAAACCCATCCCCACTATCTTGTGCAGATGACAACATCACCATACTGGACAAAACTAACAAATATTTGATGAATTGATTTAAATGCATGTTTTATATATTAAATAAATATTGAATCTATTAAATTAGATTAAATTAAGTTTGACTATATAAATTATATTATATTAATAAGGGTTTTTTCTTTCCCTACAATAAATTTTGTGCGTGGTTATTATGATTCGTGATTAATGTGATTAATCGAGGGAAAATGTATGTGGTGGTAGAAGCGAATTATTGGATTAGGAGGATTTGGATAGTGTGTAGAAGAATTAATTTAAGGATTGAAGGAATGAAGGTAAAGGAAAAGGTGTTTATGATGAGTTAAAAAAAAAATAAAAAAGATAAAAATTTGTAAATTAAAAATTCTACTAATTTATAAATTTTTTCTTGTGTAATAGAATGATCTTTCTTCATCTTTGTCTTACGTTAATAAAACTTTAGTAACAATACTGATTATTATTAATTCACACAGCATAAAAACCAATTTATTTGACAAGAAAAGAAATAACTATTCAGGATTTTTTTATTAAATTTAGTAACCAAAATTTTAATTATGTGATATATACCATTTAGATAATATAACGAAATATGGATGTCTTTATATACTTAAAAAGTGAAGGTTTTTTTAACATGTAAAATTTTGGGGGGAGGAGAAGAAGCCATTGAAAGATAATTATGTGTCACAAAGAATGGTAAATTTTAGACAACAAATAAATTCGTGTACCATTGCAATCAAATAATTTTCTTTAATTGGATATAAAAAATACTTACAATTGTTCCCTAGAAATTCTTTTATTTCATTTATTATTTTAATGGAAGTTTTTTATTTTAAACTTTGAAGGACTTTTAAAACTCTAGCATAGTCAGAATTTTTGTAAATACAAGACATCAAATTTTGATAGTAGAAATTATTAATATTAAGAAAATAATATGGGGAAATAGAATTTACCGTAAAGTCTGGAAAGATAGCATCCCCTTTTTACATATGTGTAACATTTTTTTTATATTGACGCTCAATTGTTTTAAAGTAGGGGATGCTATCTTCCGAGGGGTGCTATCTTTCCAGACTTTACGGTAATTCTGATTCTAAATATCTTTCAACTAATTTGTTATAATAAATGCAATGTCTTTGTGCAGTTCCAAATAGTCTTTGTTATCCTTATTCTTATCACCCATAGTGATGTTATTGATGTTATTGTTATGAAGTAGTTTAATCTGAGGGCATAGGGTTATGACCCCACGCGTGTGAATAGACCCGCACCCCAAAAAATATCACGAAAAAAAGGTGCGTCTCCGTACTTATAAATACACGTCTCTTTACCCTATCGATAGGTCGTCCTTTATGAGGTGACTAGAGACTCCAGATTTATGCAAATTATACACTATTATTTTTTATTTAAAAAATCATTTTTATAATAAAATTTATAATATTATATAATTTTAAATTAATAATATTAATATTATTTGTAATAATATAAAACATTAATATTTCTAATGAATTTTCTAAAAAATTATGTCATCTATCACTTCAAATATTTTTGTAATGTGAAAAGCTTATCCACCCCAGACACTGGAAGCCACATATACTTTAAAGCAGCCCTAGAAAGTAATGATAAGATTTATTGTTTATCGGTCCAATATAATCCAAAAATTCATTATCTCCACAATAAATACTCATCCATTGATCAATTCATCTTCTGGATTTATAAATTCCTTGACATATGAATATAATTGGGGCTCCAAGCAGATCAAAACAGATCAGAAATCCGATCCGATCCGATCGGGTTCTTTAAAATATTGGATCTGATCTGAAATATCTTATGCATAACAATAATAAAAAAAACTTATTTTAAAGAATTACTTATGAATTAAGACTTATGAATTTCACGAATTAAGAAATTACTTATGAATTTTGAATCAATTGCATATATGTATTATAATGACAAACATCAATGTATCAATTATGAATATTTATTAAAAGAAACCTATTTTAATATATCGAAGAAAAAATTCTTTGCTCTTGTAAAAAAGAAATTATTATATTAATATATAATACATTCACTATATGGACAAAAATTTGGCCCGCTTTTAAACAAAAATTGTATAAAAAACGTATTTAGTAATAATTGAATTAAAAAACACGATTTTGCAGCTTAGTATTAGGTCCACCAAATTATATATCAACCAAAAATTCCTTTTATTTTTTTAATTTTTATTTTTTATTTTCTTAAAATCTAAATTTTGCATGTAAAATTTTGAGAATCAAAGTTACGAAGTGATATAAATTATTTATGTTTTTTTTTCGTGCAATTTTTGTTTGTACATAATTAATTATCCGCCAGATCTGGATCTGTTCTGTTCTCTGATCTGCCTTAGGTATAATCTTTAACATCATAGATTTGATGAAACATTTGAGTTTAGTTGAACCCAATTCATTTTATCAAATTTTTCATAATGTTTTTAAAGGAAGCAATTATTACAGCATCACTAAGCTGAATTCTTGATGTGGAGTTTATTGGCAAGAACTTAACATTGTATTCTTTTAAATCTACACCTTGCTTGAATAATATAATAAAATCAGGAAATTTTTTGGGTGCAACCATTATGGCTTGTCATTATGAAATGAGCAATTAGAATATTTAAATGAGAATAAGGGTAAAGTGAAAATACTATTCAAAACTTCAAAATTAAGTCAAAGATTAAAAATGCAAAAACCTGAACTGATAAAACAACAAAGTTACCATTTTGCTTTTTTTCTGTTAAACTAAATCAAACAAAAGTTAAAATGAGCCAAGTGAAAGAAGAATAAATAAGCTTAGCATGCATGAGTTTATTAATTACTGTCTATACTATACAGAAAATAATTTAATATATCACATTATTATTGTGACTTTAATGATTTTGAGTCCTGAAATCTTTTACGTGATGTAAATGTTCACTCTGGTATGTAGTACATTAAAATATAATACCATTTAAGGGTAGAGTATATGTAATAGTAAAATTTGTGTAATTCATCAAAAATTCACCAACTTCAAACAACTTCGTTAATTTTGTATAACTCTTTTCTCATCTGATCAAAATTATTATTGCTATTGCTTCTATTTTGAATACTGTTATTATTACTACTAACAACAAGACCGCCATCTTTATTACCAACAATAATGCTACTACCACTACCATTACCACTAATAATAAGACTATTGACAGTGTTAATTTTATTTTTACTATTATTATTGCTAACGATCAATTTCCCGGTTTTCAGCCACGCCTCATAAGCTTGATATCTACTTTTAACACCGCTATTGGCATAATGATTTGATCCAGCAGCTTGTAGAATTGCACATTTTTTCGGAACTTCTAAATAATCATAATAAACTTTTTCATCTGCCGGAATGTTCAAGTCGGTTATTGGATTTGGAAGATTGGCACGTTTAACATAGTTGGCATAATGATGATATTCTGAATGACTTGTAAGTGATGGGTCTGTGTCACTTGTTGGTGTTGATGTTAATGAAATATTTTTAATTTGACTAATGTACCTACAATAATAATAATATAATGAAAGTTATTTATTATTATTATTATTATTATTATTATTATTATTATTATTATCAAGGAAAGAAAGAACAAGTTTGATTGATCATACTGTTTATATTCTTTTGCTTCACTTGATGAAACGCTTGGGTTTAAACTTTTCTCAACAATTGATTCGATCAATGAATGAATATCTCTATCTTTCTTTTGCTTCTCTTTATCTTTTTCCTCCTTGATTTTCGCTTTTTCTTCTTCGACAATAGTTCCTTTTGTAACTTTGTTAGCTGGTAAAGCGAGCCATTTCTTTAATCCTCCTATATTCATCAATCTTTAGGAAAGAATTTTATATTAATTAGACTTCAATCATTAATTAATCATTAATTAATATGCATAATATAAAAATGAAAAAGTATCATTCATACTTTGTGCCTTGTGGATTTACTCGAACAGTGAAAGGACTGTAGTCATAAGTTGAAAGATTTGCGCTAATTTCAAAATACACAGTTATATATGTCAAGTAAATAAATAGATCTAACATTGATAAAAAAAATCATCATCAATTATTAAATTACCTTGTCGGTATATATTTTGTTGTACTATTCATAGTAAAAGCAAATAATTTTTCAAATGATGTAATTGACCTTGGTCCATAATATTCTATCCAATAACCTTTATCAGAATCTTCTTCCTCATCAAATTGTCTTGATAATCTTGATACAACTTGATAACGAGCAATATCATGTTGTCCATCTTTTTGATTTAGTGCATCATTTGTCCACCAATTAATATAACTTTTTTTAAAAATATGCGAGTGTGCATAAACTTTATTAGGATAACTGTTTATTTGTTATTGTGTTTGTGTGTGTGTATATATATATTACCTTCTTCTAGCTCTTCTAAATCTAACTACGAAATCCATTTTCTAATAAATAATGATTCCATACAAACATTTCATTGTATGAAAATTTTCTATGGTTTTCAGGCCTAGACATATTATTTTGAAGTGTGTGTGTAATATCATAGGTGTAACTAAAATAAAAATTCTTTGTTAAATCAACATTATTAAAGATTCCAATGTATCTATAATAAATAATAATAACAATAGTAAGAATATTATTATTATTGGAAAAAGAAAAATTAATATTAGTACTCCCATTTTGGATCACTTTAACAGTGTAAATAAAAAATCAATTAATTTCATACCTTTGTTCATCGGATTTCTTTTCTACTCTAGTATTTGGTCCAATTGGTCTAAGAACCGTATTGTCAATATGATAGATGTAATGTCCGCCTATCAAAGCGACAGGGCTTTTTTCCGTAATCAACGAAATATAATAACCTTCGGTAAATCGAATGAAGCCAACTATCCCGTAAGCAGTAACAACTTTGTGTAAACCTCCAGAAATTCTATTTCCTTCATCGAGAACTGTCAATATATCGGTTATTTCTTGTTTTGAATAAATTACATCATCATCTATCACATTAAGCTCTGTTGGATCCGTTGGAGTTGTTCGATCAATCTTTAAGATACGAAATCTGTTATCGCTTTGATTTGATCCAATTAGATAATAATTCTAAATAAATAAATAAGTAAGTAAATGTTGAATGAATTGTGATAATTTATAATTTAATAATGGCAACAATTTTTGTTATTACCGTTTTTGTCTCGTATAATGTAAACTCATTTAACACCAGTCGATGAGAGGTTTTATCATCCATTATAGTTTGTCGATATAACTAACTTTCTTGCCAAGTTTGAATGTGTAAATCAAATTTTTTAAAAAAAGAATTTCATTTAAAAATTGTGAAAATGAAAATGAATTAGCCAATCAAAAGGAATTTCGCACTCAATTATGAACTCCATATATACAGTGGTGTGCAAAAAAAATGACAATCTTTTTGGAAAAAGATCAAAAAGTGTAACTTCCTCAATTTTGGTCATAAAGATACAATTAAATACGGAAATAAAGGCTTAACAATTACTCTATCATT